AATTAGCATATTGCGAAAAGATTTGCAATCAATGGTCACACATGCCTGTGTGTGAATTGAATATTTCTGAAATAAGCCGTTTTAAAGAATATGTAAGACCTATTTTTGACTAATTTGAAGATACGGTTATCAAAATAGCAACTTTACTTGATGATGAAGAAGAAATTGATAATTTATTTGATAACGAATTAGAAGAGTTTTTTGATAAATACCACAAATGCTTGACAACATTATCAAAGCTTAGACTAGCAGCATTGAATAAATCAGATACTAGTTCGGAATTCAATCTAAATTATACCAAAACAACAAATAATGCAGGTAACATAAAACAGCCTCAATTTTATTTACCTCAAATAAACATTTCTAAATCAATTTTGGTTTCAAATCATGAATCTAACTTAGAAGCTCAAGTAGATACATCTTCAGAAATACACAAACCATACGACAATAAACAATACTTTACTGAAACGGAAAACAACGCGAGGAGTATTCTATTACTAATACAACTAAGATTATTGACGGAAGTTTTGGTACTATAATTCAATTTGCAAAAAATATCAAAGACATAGAATATAGTAGACAAGTAACATTATTACGTCATATTTCATTTGCAAACAGAAACCAATTTGCAGACAAGTCTGCAGTTGTCTGAGCTACAACTTGTTAGACCGAATATCCGAAACGAAATCTGTTTCATTAAACCAAATGTTAAAATTTATACTTCAATACTAATGGTCGATACAAAGAGAGTGATCAAACAAGTTTTAGTTCAGATAAACGACAGAAAGATTCACCAAACAATTCGGGGAAAACTCCAATAACAAATAAACATGAATCAACAACATACGTTCTTATCAATACGATGTTCAGAACAATCACTTAAACAAAGCATAACTGAATATCAAAAATATTCGAAATCCCCAGAAATTATTTTAACGTTAATAGTTCATTAACTACAGCTGATACAATAATGAAATTATTTATTAACAACAACCTCACTAACATTTTAACGCAAGCTAAAATCAATCTTTATGATTGAATTCTAACCATTCAAAACTTTTCTTTCCAACTCCAAATCGTCTAAGCACGAAATTACATATCTATACATATAGCGCGCGAATCGATGTGTTTTTCACTTCAAATTCTAGCTATAAAATAAAATTGATAGTGGAAAAGTGTAGAATAGCACTATCAAAACACATAGCATTCTTATACCTCAAACTAAGTGAGGCACAATTATTAAAAATTCTTGCGCGAAAAATGAAACGGGCATTGAGTATCGCGTTTGATAAAAAATTATATTGGAGCGATCTTACTATCACTCTAATATGATTAAAATCTCTATTTTTATAAATATAAAATCGCTTTTGCGAATATATTTTATTTATTCAAAACAGAAATGTATGCAAACTACTGGTCATACAATTTATTAAAATCATTGTAGTGTACTAAAGCATTGCAACGCGCCAAGGTTCACCTTACTTCTAACTAAAGACTGCATCGCACGATTGGCAATTTATTTTTTTGCGATTGAAATATGAATCTGAATTGCAAGTTTAGCATGTACTCATTAAACTGGTACGTATTATGAATCTCAACTTTGTTCAAATACTAAAATGACAAAGAACAGAACATCACAGAGTTTATTAATGATTAACGAAATGAATAAATCACTTAATAAATTGATAAAATCAAAACAAGTCATGACAATCAAGCAAAATCCTTAACTTAAGTACGCATTAACAAACCATTGCAAAAACATTGGTCCTAACAATCAAGCAAGACATACCTAACTTAAGTACGCATTAACAAATATTTAAAACTAAAGACATTGACATCATTCTTAGGTGAAATGGAATTTTGCACGTTGGGGTTCAAATCAAAACTCAAACCTAAAACTTTAACTTATTACAAATGCCACCCCATAGCGCTGTCCAAAAATCCATTCATCTATCAATTATCGATACCATACCTACACATGTGTATTTAAATATTATATCTTTACTACTTATATTTGTTAACAAGATTAAATGAAAAAATGGAGGCTTTTCTATGTTATTTTATCGCATGTCTCTTAAACACAAGATATAATGAATATAGTATTATATTTGAACTAATATCTGATTCAGCTACAAAATGGTTTGATAGCAATGCATGAATCTTGCAAAATCTATTCATATAACAAAACGATAAGATTTGATATGAAATGTTATAAACTTCTGCAAATAAATCGAACTAAAACAAGATTACTAATAACACGAAAAAGGGAACTATATATCGTGGAATCATATTCAACTATGGCTTATATTTCAAAACCTCAAATTATTGACATTTTGGAAGAAATCAAACGCAGATCGGAACATTGTTGAATGTTGCTTAAGATCCTATAAAGAAGATCCTTATCACTTCCATATTCAAAAATCTTAAACATCAACTTGCTATGCGTCAATGCTTGATATCCTCGAAAATACGCTTGCTCAACATCAGCAACTTCAAAACACAAAAGCATGTGGAATATGGAGTCAGAATATGCAGACTTTTCTCGTCTGCAAATACAACCATAATAACCAGTTTTAAGGAGACAATGTTACGGTGCTCCAATAAGATAATTTAGAAAATATTGAACTGATTATTACTAATTTGTCTTATAATTAAAAAAAAAAAAAAAAACAATAAACTATGGTTTCCAATAAGAATCAAGAAATGCAGTTCATGAAATTTGTGTGTTACCAGAACCACAAACATCTAATTAATTCACATTAATGAAGATTACCAACCATTTTGAAATCTATATTTCAAGGCCGGGAGTATGTTCGCGCCAATCAAAGCATGCGGCTATATTGATATATAAACAAAAAATCATCTATGAGAAAATCAGACAAATCAATCAATCAGTCAGAACGTAATCAAAAACTGTATTAAAATTATTGTAAATATACGTATAACTTGTTATTAATATAAAATAAATATAAACAGTTATCAATTAAGAGTTTTACAATTGGTCCTTCATAAGGCAAGCAATCACAACATCCTAAAATTTTTCACAAGGAATGCAATATGTAATGACAAGAAGGAATCATAAACAATGCAATAATTTAAGGAATAAGTCGTACAAAAAGTCTTCAAAGGTCTACTATTTTTGGAGACAAATATTTATTTTGCCATGTCCTCAAACATTGAGAAAGTTGCATTCAGAGATACAAGTGTATAGCGGTATTTATGAGTGTCTATTTAAAACATTAGGTTCAGCTATTTCTTTTAAAAAGTATTAGTAGCAGATACTGTGTTTTGATGTTTGATGAAATACCATTATCTTCGGAATTGTTATATGATTGGATTGAATCTCATATTGTTGAAGTTACAAAACAGTTATTCAGCTAATATGGTTTAAATGTTCATCAACGTAAGTTCATTGTTATATTTAATAAGATTATCTATTACATTAGCAAATGTAAACACTTAGAAAGTAAACTAGTATTGGTTTAAATGTTCATCAACGTAAGTTCATTGTTATATTTAATAAGATTATCTATTACATTAGCAAATGTAAACACTTAGAAAGTAAACTAGTATTGGTTTAAATGTTCATCAACGTAAGTTCATTGTTATATTTAATAAGATTATCTATTACATTAGCAAATGTAAACACTTATAAAGAGAGTCTACACCATACATAATATTTTAATGTATTTTGATTGAAGATTAGTGTTATAATATTCTTCAAATAAAACTTGTGTAACATCCCAATATAATGTTTAAATTCAAGATATATTTGTTACCGACCTTGGGAATCAAAAATATTGCTTTTATCTTTTGATTCATAAACAATTGTATGTGCATAAAACATTATTCTGTTCATTGTAAACACTTTGTTGATCTTTTATGGCAATTTCAATGATAATGTTTTCATGATGGAGCATGGCTAAATGTAATGTTATAAAACACTTGTACAGAAACTATTCAAAGGTTTTGTTAAATGCAACTTTACTATTAATTCATTAGATAGCGAAATAACTATTACATGCAGAATTAATAAAGAACAATGTCTCGTAAATGAGTTTTAATCCTAGGAATTTGAATTTCTCTCAATTTTGATATCAATATATATATTTTATGTTTTAAGGACTTTTTTGTTTGTGAAGTATTTGTACTTTTTAACAAATTATTTGTTTTTTTCTTAACCCTTTAAATTTTTGTATTATTTGTCATTCCTTCTAAATTTGTAATTTCATTGCGTGCTCCTGTGCTTGTAGTTTCTTCTTAGTTTTTAAGATTTTAATATATTAATATTAGTCAGTTATTTGTGCTTAGTTTAGTTAAATACTTCTGTGATTTTCTTCACTTAGATATTTAGTTTTTGAAATATTATTTAAGCATAATTGTGAAATTATAATACTTTTATAATTATGTATAATAATTATTATATTTTCAAACATTCCATAACTGTAATTATGATTGTTAATATAAACATAATTTTAATTGTTCTTTAAACATATGTAATATCTTTGAAAATATATATTTTGTATTTCATATGATTTGTTCTTATTTCCAATATTAAAAATTATTCAGGTTTTTGGGGCTGTATACGATACGTACAAATTAAGAAGTAAAACCAGGGGTAATTTAAATATTATACATGTGCTGCCATCTATTTTTAAAAATTTGTATTTCAATCGAGGTAACGTCAAACCGCCAGACATAGCGATCTATTATACTTGTTTATCTATGCGTCAAATCGCCAGACATAGCAATCTATTCATAGTTGTTTATCTATGAGTTTATCTTTGATTTTGATGACGCCAACTTTGATGTTGTCACACCTGATCTTTTGACACCTGGTGAGAATTTGATAGGAATGTCAAAGTGTTTCATGGAATTATATTGAATTTAAACAAAACTAATATAAATATATATTAAAACATAATTATTACACAACATATAGGTATCAACTTTTAGGAGCCATCGTTAGTTTATTTTAAAAAAAGGAGCAAACCCAGAATATGTCTGAAGAAACAAACGCAATAATTAAAATAGAACCAATTGAATATCCACAAGTTAAACAAGAATTGGATGATTATGAAATATCAGAAATATATCCTGACGAAGAGGAAATATATCTACAGCGATTTTCAAAATCTGAGGAAGAAATAAAGCAAGAAACATTTGATCAAGATGAAACAAGTTTCCATGAAAGACCTTTTGTGGAAAGTGAAGAAATGTGTCGACAGCAATTTTTAAAATCTGAGGTAACAATTGAGGAACAAATGAAGCAAGAAACATGTGATGGACAAGGCGCAGTCACTAACAAAGAAAGCGAAGAAAAACCTTTCATATGTAATGAAGAAATAAACAATCCAAGCAATTTAGAAGATAATACGAACAAATCATTTGGAAGGACTTCAGAAGAACATCAAATAACCCATATATGTGATATCTGCAATAAAAAATTCACACAACTACAGCTTTTCCAAAAACATTTATTATTGCACGATGAAGATCGTCCTTACAGTTGTGATTTATGCGATAAAAGATTTACACGATCAAACCATTTACGCAGACATTTATCAGTGCACACTATAGAACGCCCTCATAAATGTGCAACGTGTAATAAAACATACAAAGCAAAACAAACATTGAACCAGCATGAATTGACCCATACTAAAGAACGACCTTATGAATGTGAGTTATGCCATAAAAAGTTTGTTTTATCAAGTGATTTAGAAGTGCATGCATTAGTGCACACTTTAGAAGGTCCTTATAAATGTGAAATATGCAAGAGGACATTTAAAAGAAAACAAGATTCAAAACGACATAAAATGGTCCATACTGAAGAACGACCTCATGAATGTAAGATATGCGGTAAGGGATTCAAAACAAAACAAACATTATTTCAGCATGAAGTGATCCATAGTAGATAACTTTCTTATACTCCCGATGAGCAAACTGAGTCTCGACTTATGGGAGAGACTAATAAAGTGCTATGTCTGGACCATAGCTCTGTACAGATCAGAAACAAGGATTCTTAGAAAGGGATAGAAGAACCATGGGGAGTTATCTCCATACAAATGATATAAAAAAACATGAAATAAATATTAGTATAGAATGTAAATAAATTAAAATGTTGTAGATGGCTAAATGGTCAGACTAAGCGAAAAGGCCAAATGAAAATTAAAAAAAAAAAATAAAATATTTCTACTTATTAAAAAAATTCTTTGGATTGTATATTACCCTCATGGGAAGTAAACATGTGACATACCCGCTTTACACATTTACTGAACTTTTCATAACCTTTTTAGTATTTATATAACAATATTAATTATATGATTAAGATACTGATTTTAAAAATCAACTAGTGGTGTATGGCATCCTGCCTTAAGGCAAATTGCTGGAACTTCCCATAATTGAAACTTGAGAATTTTTAAACGTTTTCAAATATATTATTACAAATACATACTGTAACTTTCATTATGTTTGCTATCTTGTTATCTGAGCAAATCAAATGTAAATCATAAATCAATTTATCTCCAGAACATTGAAAATCGTCATTTCATTTCGAATTCAATTTAAAAAAAATAGTTGTCTAATTTACACAAAACTAAAAAAGTGCTCCCGTATAGTCACAGTCTAAACGCATTTGCAAATAATTCTGTGCGACATTTTCACTTACACTGTGGGCGGCATTTTCACATTTTTCAATAGTTTTCACAAAATTGGAAAAGTGCACCAAACATAAACAGTCTAAACGCGCTTGGGTAAACATTTGTACCAGAGGGGCGCTTAGACTGTGCTTAGCCTGGGTCATTTTTTGAATTTTCAATCCAAAATTACAAAAATCTTTTTTGAAAAAAAAATTCGAAACAATTTTTTTTTTCAAAAGCAATTATTTTGTTGATATAAGCAGAAAGTTCTTTGAATCAATTAAATTGGTCGGTTAGTTCTCTCAAAAACTGCCATTTTTTTTACATTTAGCTCTGTATCTTCGAAACCGCTCGGCCTACCTTTGCCAAAAACTAATAACCATTTTTACCCGTCATTGCGAACTGAATGTTTTTTGGATCATACAAATCGGATGATCCGTTCTCTCAAAAACTCGATTTTTATTTTCTGCACTCTTTGCTCCATATCTCCGTAACGGCTGGACCTGCCTTTGCCAAAAACTAATCAGCACATCTCCCTGTTAATAGGAATCGAATGTTTTTTAAACCATTCAAATCGGCCGAAAACGTGGACGAAAAAATGCGGACATACAAAACACACACACATACATCCATTTTTTCTGAGGTATGCTAAAATGTTCAGAAATTTTCAAAACGTCGAGAAATGCAAAAATTTCTTAGAAGTTTTTAATTGTTATGTTAAATTGCAGCATTTTATTATCTTTTTATTATTATCACTTTAAGAAATTAAATCATCTTATAAATTCATCTTAATCGGATACAATACCTATATATTTACTGTTCACATTTCATACAATGCTCTGTTTGTACGCTTATTAGCATTTTAGGCCTATATAATATAAATAGTGAAATTCACAGTATATATTCATAATAATCTATTTGAAAATGCACAAAATTAATATTAACCATGAAATAAGTGAAAATCTGGCGCAAAATTCTTGCTCACCTTACCAGAAAACTTGACAGAAATCCTGTATAAAGAAATACTGGCGTAGTGTGCATACTTGAAAAAAATCATATTAACTTTGCAATTTAGTTTATAATAATTCAGAGAAATATGAGATAAGTCATAGACATTACACTATATGGATATAGTGGTCAAACATAGAAGGGATTGTGACGTCACTTGCTGAGCGAACGTTGCCGACAACCGCGGACTCTCCGATTGATCAAATGTCATATATCATATGTACGTGCCTAACATAAATCTTATAATATATAAACTAATTTTAACAGGTGGTTTTGATTTTATGTATATTTATTTCACAGGGGAAATATTTTTAATGTTGTTTCTTATAAAATTATTAGGCCTCACAATTGCCATTATATTATTAAAATAAAACTATCACAGATAACACATACATGAAGTTAGGTTTTATGTGTAAAACGCCTGACTCCACAGCAAGTACATAGCATTTCAAAAGTTTTGAAGTAAAACTTCTTTAGGCCCGATTAGGGTGTAAATCTGTACAAATGCAACGGAAATGCGTCACGCCAGAACTGTACGTCATTCGCTTTTGTTGAAATCATTTCTATACAGTAGATTGTGATTAGCTATCGTATATGTGAATAGAGATCTGTCGTTGTATGTGCACCGATATCAACAAGGAAATCGGCATAGATAAATAAACATTTTAAATTTACGTCGTAGTACAAATCTTGATTTATTGAAAAATGCCTGAATCAGAAGAATATTTTACCCTGTTCCTTGAAAATAATAAAACAAATTAAGCATTTGTGCCGTTCACTAAACGTAAGTTTGATGATTAGAAATAATTTCTATATTATTCATAGTTTCTATAGATCATTGAAGTTATTAAAATGGAAAATATTTTTTACGCAAGACAGATATTACAGCTGTTAAAAAAATGAGATTATATCGCCAGCGAAAAAGTAAAAAAAATACAAGCAGTCAATGAATGTATGTTGATTTTAATTACATGAAGTTCTTCAAACACAATTACATGATGAGTGAAATTGCGAAAACAATATTTGGTTAGACGTTTTTTAACATAATCTACTGTGTGAACGAATATTAAATAATTTATTAATCAGCAATTACTTCATTTCTCTAATGAAGGTTCATTTCTAAATGCTAATTATAATGACAAACCGATCATGTCATATTTGAAGTATGAATTTAAATTGCATTATTGTTTCTAAATATTATACATATTTTATAAATATATAATTTATAATTTATCATTATATAAATGTGTATAATGGTTGACACTAATAAATGTGTGCATCACGAGTGCTACCATATTTCTAATAAACATTATTCAAAATTGTTATATGATGTATTTATTTTTACTTGAATGCCATCTTGTACAGTAGCAAATAAGTTTTACTTCAATTGCGTGTGAACCTTGCGCGCACTTTTTTTTATTACCTAATTCTTACAAAGATTGGGCCTTAACGTAGCGTTGCCATAATATTTCTATTTAATTAGAGAACTGGCCCCGTAGATATAAAATAGATGGCCAACAAGCAATTAACTGACCTACAAAATTGCATTTAGTTGATTAGAAGTTTGACTGCATTGTGAACGCACCGTGTTATATTACGAATGACACTCTACGTAAAGACTTGAAAATGAAAACTGTTAATGAAGTAATAAAAGAAAGAAGCACAAAAAATTACCAGGTCACCAAAAAAAAAAAAAGAATTAAGTGAGGAATCACCTACTCGTAGAATGAAAAAAAATTGCCAGGTCAAAAAATACAAAAAAGGAGGAAAAATTTAATAAACTAATATTTATTAGAATTAAGTGAGAATCTCCTCCTCGAAGAGTGAAAAGAAAATGGCCATATCAAAAAATACAAAAAAGGAAAGAGGATATATCATAGGAGGTAAACATTTAAATGCATTTACAATCAGCATATTGTCTTAAAAATTGTATTATCTTGATTGACAATAAATATACGCAAAAAAGAAGAAGAATGAAGTTTTCAAATAAGTCCCTTAAATATATTTTGGTTATACGTACTTATCAAATAATAGTTTATTGACAAAAAAATGAATCTCTTATCATAGATAATATAAATGTCCTTCAACAAGTGCTTACCAATGTTTTTCTTCACCAAGTCAATTGATTGATGTCTTTTCTTATTTGAATATGTTATGACTCGTAGATGCTGCAATTAAAAAACCAGAATTAATTAATACTTATAAACATAATCTCCTTCGAGAAGTTAAAAACTCTAATCAAACATAATTGCTTTATATTAATATGAAGAATGATTCATTTTGTATTATATTATGCATAATATAATACAAAATGAATCATTCTTCCCCCATGGGGGAATTATTAAAAAAATATTCTGAAGTATTTGATGGATAAATATTAATGTTAGTTTTTCCATTGACACTTGTCAAATGCTACTAAAGTTCATTTCAACAAACAAAGTTTTTAACATGACACTATGAACACTTTTCAATATTTTTCAATTAACATTTAACAGCAAATATAATTATTTCTGAATTTGAAATATAATAAAATAGCAAGAAAAAATTACATAATTGTGTAACTTGTAATAGTACAGCTGTACTTGTGTAATATACTATCTAGATAGTATATAAATGCCACAATCAATGTTAAATGTGCTTATGTCAAAATCGTAGAAATTTATAAACAAATTATTATTTTAATTATAAGAATTATTTTAATGCATCATGGTATTTTAATAATTTATACCTCAAAATTCAATTTCACATATATCATTTTCTATAAAATGTGTCATCAAATTTTTTTTTCACTTCCATAAATCACTATAAATTACAAAATTTTTAATTTTAAACATAATGATCACTTTGAAAGAACTGAACTTGTAGATCCTAGACCATAGATAAATAAGCATAAATAGATCGCTATCTCGGGCAATTTGACGTTACAACCATTTTAATTTACAAATTGATCACAACATGGCAGCACATGTAGACTATGTAAATTAACCCCTGGTATTACTTCTACATTTGTACATATAATCAAGCCAAAAAATCTGAAAAAAAATTAATATTTGAAATAAGAAAAAAACATACGAAATACAAAATATATTTTCAAATATATCACAGACATATTTTTGAAGAATTATAAACTAAACAGAAATAACTGATTACTATTAATTAAAGTATATTACGGGCATATTTTTAAAGTGCTACAAATTAAAGAGAAATAACTTATTAATATTAATTACTTAATACTAATATTAATATATTAAAAACTTAAAAACTAAGAAGTGAAAAGCGCAGGAGTATTGGCGATGGAATGACAAATTTAGAAGGAATGCAAGTAATGCAAAAATTTAAAAGGATAAGAAGAACAGCATTTTTTTTAAAAAAAACGAATACTTCGCAGACAAAATAATCCTAAAAACAAAAAATATATATATTGATATCCAAATTGAGATAAAACTAAATTCCTAGGATTAAAATTCATTTACGAGACATTCTTTTTCATTATCTCTCATTTAATAGTTATTTTGCTATCTAATCAATTATTAATAAAGTTACATTTGACGAAATCTTTTAATAGTTTCTGTATAGGTGTTTTTTCAAACTTAAGTAACCAAAATCCTGAACTACTTTTAATTTATACCAATTGTAGCTCAAACTTATCTATCGTTTTAATCCAGTTTTTATTGAAAGGAAGTTTAGTTAAAACTATAACTAAACCCTTGCTTTTTATAAACTGCCTGGTCTTTGAGTATGCTTAATTAATTTTTAATTGAGACAATATCAAAATTCTTGCCCTTACATTTTACGTTTCCGGAATATTTGAAAACTTCTCCGAACATTGTATACTCTGTTGGAATTTATCCTTCAAATTATTGCCATGTTGTTAATCATATTGTTAATCCTTTTTAATCCCGAAACAAAATTTGATGTATCATACATCTTCTGGGTGTTAAGGCACTCCTACGCCTTATCACTGCATTCTGCGGCAATTTGCAGCTACCACCAAGGACTTCTATTGAATATATTGTTATATCATATTAATTGAAGATATTGTTATTATCATATTAATTATTTTTGCTGCAATTATTATGAAAAAATATCTTTGCGGAAAACTGGTGTCAGAATAGATGAATTTTAACACGCACTTGACAATCTTAGGGGCTGAAAATCTTTTTCAAGGTTTTTAGGCTTTCATCACCTATCATATAGAACATAAGATTCATTTATTAATATTTTTTTGCAAATGGTATTGAAGTATTTAGAGTTATAATCACTTGGCCTTGTCCTTGGACATGCATATTGTTCTTCTGGTTCTGTATCAGAGCATTCTCCAGTGACTTGAATTCTGTTATTGCTGTAAAGGAGACACTTCTAATTGCTTTCGATTTCAAATTATCTTTGATTTGTGACACAAACCGAAGAGTTAGGTTATCTATTAAAGGATTATTCGTTCTCTGCATCCAAATTGAAAGCATCTTTTTACACAGAAATTTTTACACTCAAATATATATAATATATATTTACACAAACATATATATATATATATATATATATATTCATGATTCATATTCATTATATGCATAATACATCATTATATAAATACCTGATAATTAGATGCCGGAAAGACATGCATTTTTTTATTATATTTGGAGTTATAACAATTTGGCACATTTTACCATTTTAACTTAATAATAAATGAAAAAAAGTATTCACCAAAACATAATTGTATATAAACAATTACAGAAAAACAAATATAACACATCTCAACTATAATCCACGAATCTTTTGAATTGAATCAACATATGCACAACTTATAGAAAATGGCGATCAAATCAATCTAGATCAAGCTAGATCAATGAAATTGGAAATCGTAGCGCCATCCTTCGATCAATTCGAATACCAATCCATTTCAAAACATGGTAATCTACATTTCGCCAGACATAGCGATCTATTTATACTTTTGTTCATCTATGGGCGAAACGTCCCCATATTTGTAAATATTTTTATGTTGGCAACGGTAACATAGAACAATGTAAAGGTAGCGAAGTTCGAACAGGTGTTGGTGTCTGTCAAAGAAATTTTAATGTACTAAACGAACATTTTGTTTATTTAATTATCAATTAAATGTTTAAGTATATTATATATAAATTCAAATATAAATGTGTAATAATATGTGTATGTTATTATAAAGCGGTATTTGTGATTGATAGCTAAACAAAGGTAGTGTATAATACTTTGAGGTTATTCCACATGACTAACTTTTAATTATATTTATTTCATTCCGAAAAAACATTTAATTCCAAATGAAGATACGCAAAGAAAATGTAAAATTTAATTTTACTTTTTTTCATTTCAGCTCTGCAATAATTATATGACAAGCCAATAGCTTTAGTTGATTCAAAATCACTGTCTGTCAAATATAAATTATTTTGAAGAAGAAATTCTCTTGGCGACATTGTCTAAAATAGACTCCTGTTAACTTAATGTAAGATTACATGCTTAGACAAATCCATTATACGAATATATTATATTCTCAGAATCATTTGTGTTGACAGTTGAGAACGATTATTAATTTAAACATACACTCTTGTAAAATGTTACGAGAGCATAAATGTAATGCACTTTCTAAAATTATACTCCATGCTCCAACTGTCAACAGCTAATGTTTTAATTTATATTTCTAGTGAAATTTATTATTATATTTAACAATAGTTCATTTAAACTAACCAACTATTTTTGTTTATAGTTTTGCTTATAGAACATACTCGATGCACAAAAATATCAAAATGTCAGAAGCTCCTAATGATCCGATAATTAAAATTGAACTACAAGAATATCCAATCGAAGACATTAAACAGGAAATTGATGAAGAGTATGAATCGTGTTCAGAGGATGACAAAACATGTCTAAAGAGATTTATGAACTCTATTGTAAAAATAGAAGAAGATGTCGAACAGGAATTAATTCAAACTCCTCCTTATAAATGTATCAAGTGTAATAGAACATTTAGAAAGTTGCATTATTTAGAACAGCATATGTTAAATTATTGTCATAGGGATACATATCATTCAGAGTCTTTTTCAGGTGCAAGTGCATTAGAAATACATATAAAATCTCATACAGGTGAAAAACATTTCACATGTACAAAGTGCTGCAAAGCATTTACTGAAAAATATCACTTAGATCAACACATTTGTGATTCTGCAAGAGAACAAATTTTACATTTGAATGAATCTAGTAATCAAAAACGAAATATTCGTGCTCATACTGCAAAGGGACCAGTTGAACGTCCCCATATTTGCAAAATATGTGAAAAGACATTCACACAATTGAGTTACTTGAATAGACATATGATCATCCACACTGGTGAACGTCCGCATATTTGCCAAATTTGTGATAAGACATTCACACAATTGGGTTCCTTGAATAGACATATGTCCATCCACACTGGAGAACGCCCTTATATTTGCAAAATATGTGAAAAGACATTCTTACAATTGGTAGATTTGAATAGACATATGCGTACCCATATTTGCCAAATTTGTGATATGACATTCACACAATTGTCTCAATTGAAAAGACATATGTTGATTCACACTGAAAAACTCCCGCATATTTGCCAAATTTGTGATAAGACATTCACACAATTGTCTCACTTGAAAAGACATATGCTTATTCACACTGGTAAACGTCCCCATGTTTGCCAAATTTGTGATAAGACATTCACACAATTGTCTCACTTGAATCAACATCGGCTTATTCACACAGGTGAACGTCCCCATGTTTGCCAAATTTGTGATAAGACATTCACACAATTGTCTCACTTGAATCAACATCTGCTTATTCACACAGGTGAACGTCCCCATGTTTGCCAAATTTGTGATAAGACATTCACACAATTGGCTAACTTGAATCATCATCTGCTTATTCACACAGGTAAGCGTCCCCATGTTTGCCAAATTTGTGATAAGAGATTCGCACGCTTGGGTACCTTTAATACACATATGCTCATTCACACTGGTGAACGGCCACATATTTGCCAAATATGTGATAAGACATTCGCACGATTGAGTATCTTGAATAGACATATGCTAATTCACACTGGGGTACGTCTTAATAAATGAAAAGTATGTAGTAAGACATTTACAGAATCAAGTAAGTTGGATAGACATATGCTCATCCACACTGGTGAGCATCCTTATATTTGCCAACTTTGTGATAAGACATTCAGATACTTGCGTAACTTGAATAGACATATGGTCATTCACACCGGAGAATGCCCTTACAAATGTTAAATCTGTGATAAGGTATTCAAACGTTCAGAAGCCCTGAAAAGGCACATGGGTGCTCATGCCAATGAGTAATTAGTATTTACAAAATTGGTAACAAAATTACATATGACTGCTTATAGAAATTAATGTTAATTAGATATATGAATTAATTTATATATTTTATAAAATAAATAAACATTGTTATCAATGGCTTTAGTAAATAGTTTATTAATAATGTGTGATCATTGGAATACGCTGTGAGTAAAAATCGCAAAATGGCAACGGAAAATAAAGAAACTGGTAATTTTTAATTTATATATATATATATATATATATATATATATATATATGAACATATATATATTACATTTTCTCTAGTCTTAACTAAAGATGCTGCAAAAGTGTTGACATTCTCAATGTTGCAAACGATACCTGTAGAGTACGTACACATTTTGTTCACGGATACTCACAAAAAGTCAAGAATGGAAAAAATGACAATGTAAGTAATTTAAATCCACTTCTTTATTGTTCAGGACGTGTACATATTTCTATTTTTTGCTATGATAGATTTAATACTGAAAATCCGAGGCCAGAGAGTCTCGGGGACATCGCCTGGACCACAAGCTGCTTGGGACATGCAGTGGCATTATGTGCCATTGCATATGAGGATGAAGGTATAAATATAAATATACGAACTAAAAAATCTAAATCTTATATATAAGTATATATAAGGAACTTATATACAAATTTAAGCAATTTTTCATTATGATTTTTCTTATGGCAGATTGCGAGCTCCAGACAGTTGGAGAAGTGCTGAAGAAAATTCAGGCAGCAATGAGAGCAGAGTGGAAGACGGTGGCTTTGCTGCCGTTTGAAATGCCATACGACGCAAACATATTTATTAATCTATTCAATAAAATCATGATAAATACTGAGGGCGTTAGCCTTAAAATTTATCTTGATAAGGTAATGTAGCATTTATATAATATTATATAAATACATTTGTAAATATGTCTTAGCTATAAGTTGTTATAATATTATTACTTTAGTCCCAGGACCATGCCGCAAGTTGGAGAGGCTCAGTATGCGGAGGACGGGGCAGAAAAACTCAGCGCGGCAGGAAGCCAACGCGAAGTAATTTCCTCCCTTCTGCAGGCAGCAGCAGCTTCCGTGGCAACAGAGGCCGCCGCGGTGGTCGTGCTCGAGGCCAGTCTCACCAGAATCAGAATGCCAGTGACCTTACTAAAGAAAAATTTGAATTAGCGTCTTCCATTATCAAAGCATTAATAAACTTTACATAAAATAATAATACATAAAATAGATTAAATAGGTAGAATAGATTCAATAATTATATTTTCTTAGAATTTTGTAATGAAGAGTAGCTAAATAAACTGTATAGAATTTCTTATTATTCTCTTTTTCTTATTATTTTCTTAGAATTTTGTAATGAAAAATAGCTAAATAAACTCTTGACTTAACAAGTAGTATTAAGATAGAGTTTTTTCATGCGGACCGGAATAATATATTAAGGTAAGGCAAGGCATATTATTTAAAATACACGATCAATATTTTATTTGTTGATAACTTGTAATTGCATTTTGTCTTGAATATCAATATAATATAAAGATCACTATTAAGGTGAGGCATATTATTTATTAATAACTTATTATTATTTTAACAAGTTTTTATGTTTTTGTTTTAGGATGTTATAGTTTTTATTTTCGGGTTTTATATCGGAACTGTTTCAAGTTAATATTATAACAATATTAAGGTGAGGCATATTAATTATATTTATAAGATACAAAATAATTTTTTTACATAATTATACTTATCCTAATTTAGCCTTATTAAATTTTAGTTTTTTATTTTTAGAATATTTCCTTTGTACCATCTCATATTGTTCAAAAATGGATGTCTTGTCAAGCACGATGATGATTGGCATTTTTCTGGTGTTTCAAATAGTGCTTTAGAATATAGTAAATCGAAAATTCATCAATGAGTGTTACCGACAAAATCCCGAAGGAAAATAAGCATTTTCTTTAGATTTTAATTTGAGGATTTATTCCATATTGTAGATGGTACAGCTAA